GCCATTTTGTAAACTCATTTCCTTGCATTCTCTAAGTAATCAAAATTCTGCCGTTAAACAACGGGAAAAACCAATGCTACCACCACAACGCAGTACACCAGCACAAAACAACAGTCATAAATTCAACAAAGCAACAACCAAAAGACCAAGAACCACCATGGTTGGAGGACACTGGTGATGCTAGTACGGAACGCTGGGAATGCTTACAAGGTGTGGAGGATGCTGATGCAGAGGTTATGCAGAGGATGCTGATGCGGACGTTGTTTAACGGTAGAATTTTGATTACTCAGAGAATGCAAGGAAATGAGTTTACAAAATGGCCGAATGCAAGGAAATGAGTTTACAATTCACTAAAAACGGAAAGATGCAAGGAAATGAGTTTATGTCATTTGTAAAACAAGGAAATGAGTTAATTCTCCAATCAGATGTGAGCGTAGATGCAAAAATATAAATTCTGCTACTGTACTAACATGTTGGAGCTACGAAATACGAGTACGTACAGTACTACCGTAATACCTCCGTCCAGAAATAATAAATAATAGTAATAGTACTCTTTGCACCTCCTCTTTAGTTGGATTAGTTGGATTAACCTGGATTAACCTGGATTAACCTCCATATTTTGGCAATTTGACTGCTTCTTTTCTTATCATGTTGATCTTGTTGTTTAATACTATTTCAATGTGGTATACTAATACTATCGATTGATAGTACTACTAGTACTATTGGAGATATTGGTGGTGATATTGGTGGTGATAGTAGCCCTAGCTACCATTGGTATTGGTATTCTTATTCTTAATGTTATTCTTATTGTTATTCTTCTTATTGTTATTTATTACAGTAGTAGTAAGTATCAGTAATAGTAGTAGTACTCCTGTACTAACTCCTTGTTGGAAAATAGAAACTGTTTTGGTGGGTCAACACCAGTATTTGCTGCCAAATTCATCATGTTGTGAGAACCATAACTTGCTCAAAATAGAGTGTTATGTGAATCTATTTAGCACCACATTCGTCCCCCCTGGCACTAATATTAGATTGTGATAATGTATCATATTTTGGGGATGATGCTGGACCCCCCCACAGGGACAAAATACCAGTATTTGCTGGCATGGGTCCAAAATCAATAAGATGCCAAAATCATTGTTTAAAAAAATATTCCACCTTTATTTGAGCTTCATATACCCCCCATGGCACCACTAGACAGGACTGTATCTTGCTATGAGGCTAATTTGTGATATTTTGCAAGAAATGATATCCTAACAGTGTAAATACTGCTAGTAATTGCTGTCCATGAACCAAAAACACTATGGGCACCATAACCTTTTCAAAAATGGGAGTTATGTCCTTATTATATTTAGCATCACAAAACCCCCTTGGCACAATCAATAAAGAGGACTGTATCTTGCTACAATCAGATGCTTTGGTTGGACAAGTGAGAGAAAAAATAGGAGTCATTCCAAATTGCAGTTGCAATCAGATCATTGACAAGCAGCAACATCATAGTACTAGTTTGCTTCCACCAGCAGTAGTAGGTATGACATATGGCAGAGCTTGTTGTTTCCTGATACTTTCCCAGCGGAATGATCAGTATTTATTTATGTCTGCTGGATCCTCCTCTCATCCATACACTTTTATTGCAAAGTATCTGTAGACATGATTGGATCTTACCTGATGCCTCCTCAGCTCTGCACAGGAGGAGCAAAGAGAGTTGTATTGTGGGGGAATCATGTATCACCCCCTCCATCATTAATTCTACCAATGCCACTGCTGGTGATTCAGTTGTTGTTCCCCCTGGCATTTGCAAGCCTGCTTTCCTCAGAAGATTCTTATCTACTGCATCATCAATAAACAGGCCTGTACTATTCTGACAAGAAATCAAACACCAATCTTCCTTCAGCAGTAGCACTACAGAAAAGTGACAAAACCACTACAAGTAGTACTAGTAGTATTTCTGCCCTAGAATTACAAAATTTAGTGAGGATCATTACTTTGTCAAAAACAGAAGTTTGCTGATTTTATGTAGCATCACATAGCTTAATTGCACCAATAGAGAGGACTACATCCTGCTATACACTCATCTCTGATATTTTTAGGGAGAAATAATATAATGATAGCAAAAATACCAGTAACCATAATATCTTTGTTAAAATGGCATGATGTGATTTTGTTTAGCTTAGCACCCAGGCTGGGCATGTGGTCGATTGGCAAATTGTGTCAGAGATTCCAAAAGCTTGCACCAATTTGCTTGTGACACCGCTTTCCGGGTCATAGACGAAAAAATATAAAACATGGATCCAAGATGTGGATCTTGACCGCAGACACTTCGATACCAACGTAAATAGCCCTACAGTTCCTTCCCCGTTTCCATTGACTACGTGCGGTAGTGAACCCATTAGTATATGCGATAGACAAAAGGCGACAGTAAAAGAATAGCATGGTTTGGCTTATTGGGTTCTTTTTGGACCGAAATGCGCTCGTGGCCTCCATCCTCAGGATGACTAGCTGCCCGACAAAAAGAAGGCCTTGCGCTCCCGGTGAATCCTGCGTAGTTCCCCAAAGATCAGGTCCGAGGGCACGTTCTTTGCCGCTCCACTACTACCAGGGATAGTAGTCGTGTTGGGTTCGGTTTTATGTGGTTGGCGCCTCGTCTTGTCGATCGAGATGACCGGTAGCCACTGGACGTGAAGGTACCCCGCATTGTTGAAAAAATCCCAGTCCAGCCGTGCGGGCAACTGTGTATCAATGTTGTGCCTGATGCCCCCCTTTTCGTTGTAGTAGATCTGGACGGAGGCCCCCTTTGGGAGAAAGGAGGCCGTGATGGCACCTCCGCCACAGAACGTGACAAAGACTGCCGCCCGAGAGGCCATCTGGATCTGCTTCTCGAGCGTGTAGTCCGAGAATTTGTGGGTTTCCACGATAATCTGCGGGTCGTCCGGTCCGCTCCTTTCGGCAATGACCCGTCTGAGGTCATTGGCTTCCTTTACAAAATCCCGCCTGCGTGTTTTGGAAGACAAGGAGGAAAAGAGGACTACTAGAGGTTCGTCGGGCCCCCATTCGGTAATTGAAGCAGGGGGATACCACTCATTTTGTTGTTGTTGTTCCCGCTGGTGCCCCCCAATTTCTTCGATTCCGCGAAAGACCGAGTCAGCGATGTAGTACGGCCGCTGCTCCTCCTTTCCCCCTTGTGTTATTCCTTCCACTCGGCGTCTATCCGGATCACGCTCGTGGATACCCGTTGTGGATGCTGTTGCTGCTGGTACGAAGGTAGTCCGCACGATTGCAGTCGCGTTTTCATTTTCAACAAAGTTGCTGCCATTGCTGTTGGCGTTGTTTTCTCCGTAGAGGTTTCGGATCATAAAATTGCGAAAGTCCCACAGTTTTCCACCCCGTCCTTGGTTGTAGCTGACCTTGTAGTCATTCTCCTCCCATCCATGGCTCCTGGATCCATCTCCATGGTCCGAGATGGCCCCAAAACCGGCGAGGCCGTTTCTAGCGCAGACAAGGGCTCGCTTTTGTGTTGGTGATAGCGGTGGTGAGTCACCATTTGTATTTGTATTTCTTTGAGATATCTGTTGCCAATCATTATCATCATAATCCTTTCTGAGTCTGAGTTCCACATCCCGGTTCGTCGTAATGGGAATCTTGGGCATCTTAGAGGCGGTCAGCACCGGCGTATTTGAGCGTTCGCTTTTGCTGGCATCGACCCCGTCTCTGGTTTTCTCCGTGTCTTGTTGTGAGAAGCCGTGCGTCTTGTAGGACCGGCGGGTCCCGAGAAGAGTCCCAAATTTTTGCAGCATCGCGTGGCACTCCTGTGCCCGCGAGTCCAGCCAGTCGCAGCCGGCCCACAGGCCGCGAGCGTCCCCTGTCGGACCCGGTGGAAGGATGTACCGGATCGGGAGGAGGTCCGGAGGGGTGTTGTTCGCTTTGTCGCTATTTGCGCCACCGGTCTCATCATCGTCACCACCGATGGTGTGCAACAATCCAAACATGTCAAGGAGCGTGTACATGGGCAGAAAATCGTCCCAGACCAGGTGCCCTGGATTAGAGGCCGACAGGGAATGAAAGGGGACGACGACGACGGAGGAGGGCAGCGTGTAGACGTCCACGTCCAGCGGCACCCCCCCCCATTCGATCCTCGGAAACCACTTGAGGCGCTGACCGTCCACCAGTCCCCACTTGCCGTTCATGCTGCCGATGGAAACCCCGTAGTGCTTTCCGTTGATAACGTCTCCTACGGTCACGTCCCCCTTTCCATCGACAATGGAGGTGAGGTTTCGGTAAACGGTGGACGTGTCGTCAAAGAGAGAGGGTTGCTTGAAGGATAGCGGCAACAACGGTTTCTTTTTTCCTTGGATATCCGCACTGTTCGCCTTTGCATTTGCATTTACTCTCTTGGCCTTCCTTTCCTGAGCCTCGACTTGTTCCCTCTGTTTCCGCAGGATTTTCTGGAGGCTGGGGTTCGGGTGGTGGGGCATGGTTTCTGTTTTCGTTCCCGATTCGCTCCTGGGGTTTCGTTGCTGTTGCTGTTGCTGTTGCCGCGAGATGTGCTCAATATGCTCGTGGTTCGTGTCCGGATGCTCGTTCGGGTCCAAAAAAAGAACATACTCTTGCTGTTCGGTATCGAAACACAAAAACTGGAAGCGGCAGGAACGGTACTTCCAGCTCTCCTCGTGCCAGGTGTTCGACCTTCGATGGAAAACGGGTGGTTTCCAGGTCTCCCCAGCGCAGTGGAACTGGGAGTACAACGGTCTAGAAGTAGACGACCTTTTGTTGGCGGGGGTGCTATTGGCATTGGCATTGGCATTGTTTTTGTGATTGGGAGCGGGAGAATCGCCTGAATGGCTCGTGTCATCCCCTGTAAAATTGCTTCCCGCGCCCCGCAGCTTGTAAATAGGGTATCCATTGAAGATTCCATCGGGCGTTGGTGGTGCTGGTGGTTTGTCTTTGTATCTCGATTGCTCATTGGTGCTCTTGCTCTTGTTGCTGCTCTTGCTGTTGCCATTCGTATATCTCGCATTCCCAGGAACCACCCTTTCTCGTTCTATTTCTATTTCTACGCCAGAACGCCGCAGTGCCGCAGAGTGGTACACGTGTAGGAGACCACACTGGGCCACCGCATATAGGCACCAAAAGAGGGCAGCCCAGATTCCGCCGCTAATCCAGCTGCCAGAGCTTTTGGTTGGAAACGTACAAAGTTTTGCTCGAGCTGTTCGAGCTGTTGCTACTGAAGACAACGGCGGTTGGCGTTGGCGTTGGCGTTGGCTGTCGATTGTGTTGTCACTGTTACAGCCCTGGAAAGAACGCACGGATGATTTTCCCATTAATCGCATTTCTTGGGTTGGGGTTAGAATGGTCTTTGATTGGATTTGACTCGGTTGGGTTGGTTTGGGTTGGGTTGGGTTGGGTTGCTTGATTCTTGTGGGGGAAGTTTACGGGTCGAATTTTCCCGAATGCCTCTCGACCTGGTCTGAGCACTGGGAGTCAGTCTTACAGTACGGAGTATGGTACTACTGTACTTGGTAGTCGTACTGTCCCGTTCGTTTGTGAGTTACTCGTACTGTTATTTTTTTGTACTAGTAGTATTTTTTTGCGTCTCGTTTTTTTTTCGAAAGAGCTCATGACCCCCCTGGCCCTCGGCCCTCGGGGTGTATCTGGGAAAATAGTATGGTATTATAGTATGATATGCTTCATAGGATTGTAGGCACTAACAACATAGGGTATGGTCATATGGTACTATTTTTTAGAACAGTAGTATTACTACTATATTACAAATGTACCTAATAGAACATAAACATACGTACCTACCGGTATGGTAAATTTTCGGCGTGTTACAGTCGTTCGTAGGTTTTGAAGGTGCTCCGTCTCATTATTTCTGTCGACCCGTATCTTATTCTTCCGTTTGTGTGAAATGAACGGAAATGAGGAAAAATATTCGACTAATAAATAGGATGGAACAAAAGCCCATCCGTGCTATATTTTCGAAGAAACAAGATTCTTCGGCCGAGAGGGACGTCAACGGATAGAAGAAAGCATCACTATTTGACAGACATTTTTAGGAAAAATGGTAAAAGCCAAATGGAACAACTCTCAACCGTCACGAGTAATTTTGTGGCGACGAGGATCTCAAACGGAAAGTCGAAGATTATCTTTGCCAATAATACGTAGGATACGGTTGCTGTTGGGTTCGCATGTGATGTGTTTGAATAAGGTCGGAAATATGCCAAGACGTTATCGTTGGGCTCTGTTTTCTAACTATTTTTTTTCTCTGCTTCGAAACCATTTGTAGGGGGAAATCTTCATATTGAACAACACTGTTTCTAAGCGATACATTGCTGATTGAGGGGGGGGAAATTTTGTAGAGACAAACGGGAAAAGGAGTGGACTAGGTGACAAACGAAAACTGCTTTGATGCCGTGCTGCGCCTTTGATTTGGTGTAAATAGAGCTTTCATACATCATTCGGAATACACGGTATCACGGTCAACTACTAGTCACCACACGAAGCAACACTTGACCACACTTTGAGCAGGCTGAAACGAAAATAAAGCAGCATCTGTGATATCACCGTACATTTCGATACTGTCTGAAATCAACGGTTGAGACATCAAGACACGAGACGAGAACGAGAGCGAAAACTAGAACGAGATCTAGAACGAGAGCATAAATCTAGAGCGAAACKGAACGGTGGGCTTCTAGTATAGTGCTACTTCAAGAACGCTCACGATGGCGGCGTCCGGTAATGACGATGGCAACTCCATTGGCAGAAACTACGAGACAACTATCATTCGCAGCGATAGCAACGAGCAATACGAATATCTCACTAGATTAAGGGAACCAAACGGAGGGAGCCGTACCAATAGACGATCATCTTGCTCCTTCCTATCGTCGGTGCTTCTTATTGCGACGACTCTAATGTTGTCAGCAACAGTAACAATCATGCTGTCGAAGAGCAGCACTTCTAATCGTGGTGGCTCTTTCAAAGCAACGACGACAGAAACGGGAACACAAAGCACCATCCAACTGCAACGATTCGAAGACTTCCAACGCCTTTACTTGTTTCAACAGGCAGAGACTGTCAAATCAAACACTGCTAGGTATAACAACAATACATACCCCTCTCATTCAAAGTTGAAGAAAATGCGCCGTCTCCATGAGGATCAAGAAGAACACGATCGACAGAACCACACTTTATCGAGAAGGTCTCGTACTAGTACTGGCACTAGATATCCGACAGATCATTTCCCATTGAACTCATCTACGAACCAAGAACACAAACGAAAAGAATACAGGGAAACAGGAAGGTATCCTGCCGTAGGAAAATATGATAAAGAACAACATGAGCAACAGAAAAAAGAACGAATTACTTCTGCAAAGAAACACTTGCAAAAGAAAGATTCTGTACGTTTTGCATCTCACGAAAAATATCTAAGAGAACACGAGCGAAAAGAGCACGACGGAAACTCAATAAAGGAATTTGTTCTGTCTCAGGCTCCTACGGAATTGCCTCCGGCATTCCCCGTAATACACCCGACAGAACATGAACGAAAGAAGCACGAACCAACAAGCACGCATTTTGTTTCAGAAAAGTATTCAACAGATTTCCCAACAGGGTTGCCAATGAAATACCCTTTAGAACACGCGCGAAAGAAACACGAACAAACAAGAAGACACTTTATTTCATCGAAAGATCCGACAGATTTCCCAACCACTTTTCCCAACAGAAAACCATTGGAATCTCCCATTGGCTCTCCGATTAAATATGGAATAGAACATAAACAAAAGGAACACGAACAAGGAATAATCACAAGACAAGCTCTCTTCACGAAAGGTCCAACAACATTTCCGACAGAACACGAGAGACAGGGCCACGAGCAAACGACAAGGCAATTTATTTCAATGACAGAAGCTCTCCCCACCAAAAACACAACAGAGTATGATCGGCAGGAACACATGACAGCAAGGCAAGTTATAGTTCCCCAGTTTCCGACACCGACGATTCTTCCATCGAATAAGGAACAAGAACGGCAGAAACCTGACCCACTTCTGACAAAGCCTCCTGATGTTACGAAGTCCCCTACGATATCTCCCACAAATTCTCCAAGCGAGGGTCCATCTAAATCCTCGACACCCTCCACCAGTCCGTCGGGAAAACCCACCATTTCGTTCTCACCAACTAAGTCTCCCAGTGGAGCTCCCTCTAAATCACAAACACCATCGAGCAGTCCGTCGGGAAAACCCACCATTTCGTTCTCACCAACTAAGTCTCCCAGTGGAGCTCCCTCTAAATCACAAACACCATCGAGCAGTCCGTCGGTCGGACCTACCTGCTCAATTTTTCTTCCAGAATCGTTTACAACCTATACTGTAGTTAACCTGCGGCTGGAGCTGACTGGTGGGACGGCCAGCGAATCTAGTACAACCGGCGACAATGGCATAAGCAGTGATGATTCTGTCGGAATCGACTCCATCATTGACCAGCTAGCCAAGATTTTTCAGGACAGCTACAACAAAATTATCGATCTGGAATTCACCTCTTGCGACGAAGAATACCGAAGAGTCACAAATGTTGAATACATATCATTCGATGATATTTATAATGACAATATCGATGGCGATACCGACGGCACTGAAAATGCTGATGTGGAAGACAGAACCAGGTTGAACACCACGAGTACAGATGTTGTTCCTCGTTGGCCGTTTGTATTTCGACGAAATCTTCAACAGCATCTTTCACCGTCACTTTCTTCTTCCATACTTCTTCAAAGCACACCTCCAAATGTGCACTCACAAAATCATCCAAATGCCATGGCAAACCATCCTCGGTATGTTCGAGTTGATCACCGTCATCCTATATTGCATGAAAAGACAGATTCGATCGATACATTGAATGATGTGAATTCGAGCCAGAGAAACCTACAGCAACAAGAAGTAGAAGTATCTGCCTCCACTAAAACTATGGACGTCTCACTTTTGTTCGAGGTGACAGTAGCCTGCCGTGGTGCCTTTTGTGAGAATGAAAATGCTGAATTATTTGCCAGTAGTCTTGGGATCACAAAATATCGCTTTTCACAGCTCTATGCTTACGATGTGTCACGCTCGTTACTTTTGACGGTGGGAGAAATGGAAGCAGCTACGGCGAATGCCAATGGTGATGCTGACGTGGATGTGAATGCCAGCGGCAGCGATGGAAATGACGGAAGTAACATCAGTAGTGTTTCGGTAGGAAGTGTGAACGAGATTGAGGAGCATTTCTGTCCAATCGACGATTCAATCGTCGAATTCACAGACGTTGTCCTAATTGAGTTGATCGTTACTACAGAAGATGACACCATCGATCTCAAAGTTGCGAGTACTACCACTCTGAGAGACATGCCCGTCTCACAATACAGCCCAGAATGGTTCGAAGACATTGAGAAAGCCTACGTTTCGACTTACAACCAACTTATTCGGGGGGAATTCTGCGATCCCCTCTTTCGGAGGGCGACCAATGCCGAGGTGTTGAATGTTGGTAGTCGTTCTGTTGACGAGAATGTCGAGGTGTTAACACTGGAAATTGCGGTCGAGGGAACATGTAAAGGCTGTGATTCCGAGACAGTGGAGCTGTATGAAGAACCTTCGTTGTTGGCTCTCGATCAGAGAACTACTAGAATGTTCAACAGGACGAAATGGAATCGGAGAAGACGAGCGGTGGAGCTCGAAATGGAACCGCAACGCATGCAAGGACAATGGGAAATCATCGCGAAGCCGTACACCGCAGATACGTTCGAAGATTTGGGCCGATATCTTCAGCAGCGGCAGCAACAAGTTGTTGCATCGTCACCATCCTCACCATTTCTAGTTTCAACCCACAACACGAACTACATCAGCGAGAATGTTTGTTTTTGCGATGCTCAACCGTTTGCAAATCGGGCTCCATACGAAGCCGAATTCATAGCCGTGTTCCAACAAACGATAGGAGAGTTGAATATCCAACATGACGCAAACACTAACGCGGATAGCAGTAATACCAGCTTCGCAGTGAGCTCTTGTGAATATGCAACAACGTTCTATACTGGTATTGCTATAGCACTTGAACCAGAGGGAAGCACGTCGGTATATGAAGATGAGGAATTGCAATTGGTACTCGAAGATACACTTCAGTCCACGCTTAATGGTTTGCTGGATGAAGGTTGCAACGACGAATTTCGCGCTGTTGAAAACGTTCAGCTGGTCCTAACGGGGGAAGAGTCAGAAAATCCCGATCGCAATCGTCCAGATAACAGTTTCTTTGATCCAAACAACGCATTTTACCAACGCACTTGGATACCCCCCATCTCCAGAATAGCAAGGACTAGTAGGAATGCAGATTTTTTGGAGGACACAACAAACTTGACTTCATCAGAAAATGTGACATACAATGATGACATTTTTCATGACGAGGACGAGGAGGAGGAAACGGACTCACCAACTTTTTCTCCTTTTGATCCAACAAACGAAAAGCGTGAAACAGACTCACCAACGTTTTCCCCTTTTGATCCAACAGCGACAACATCGGACGAGGCTGTAGCGAGTGATGCTACCGTCTTGTTTTTCGTTTCGGGAGTATGCAGTGGTTGTGACGACAACTTTCTGACAGGGTTGACAAATGATGTTGTTCGTAGGTTGAAGGCAACCGTTGGGGAAAAAATCTCATCGTCATCCTCCAAAGCGCACAAAAAATCAATCCCTTCCCCAGAACGGTTTCTTCAGGAACGACAGGGACTCCCGAAGTCTGATTGTTTTTGTCCTATTGATGCAAAAGAAAATAGTGGGCAGATAGAAGCAACAGTAGTTGCGGAATCGTATCAAGAGAGCTTAGAAGAAGAGGAGGTGGCAGTTGATGTCGAAATCCTGGGTGAGGTGGAGGTTGTGACATGCAGTAGTATGATAACCGAGTTCCGCACCACTGCCACCTTTGCCATCGACGGTGATGTTCCCGATGCCAGTATTGGGGAATTGGCAAGTAGCTTGCAAAGTACATACAATGATCTAAATGCTCTCAACTGTGATCCATTGTCGCGCCAAATCACTTTTGTAGATGTCAACAAGGTGACTAAGAACATTGTCAGAGGTAAAAGACAACCCCAAACCCGACAAAGACAAAAAAGCCTTCACCGACGTCGGCTGCAACAAGCAGAAGTCGATGACGAATCATCATGCGACCCCACTACAGTTGACACTGTCGAGACAGTTATAGAGTTCGTCGTGGAAGGAACATGTCTGGGGTGTGACAGTGGAACATCTCTTTTTGATAGCGGTAGAAGGCGTCGTCGCGCTAGACAGTTGGAGCCAGAACATCTGAGGTCTATTTTTTCTTCCTACAAACTGTCAGCCTATCATGCTCCTAGAAACGGCATCCGTAAACATCGCCCGCGACGACGGTTACAGGGTTCAGAAATATGTGTGTGTGAAGGTGATACAGTCGCCGACCGTGCGCCAACTTTTGATGAATTCTTTGCTGTTTTTGCGGACGACATAGTAACTGTACCGGCAGTTTGCGGGATCTTTGATGTCGAAGTAGAAATAAGCGCGTCAAAAGAACTGGAACAACCCGAAACCTTCCAAGATATTTTAGAGCTGAGATCTCCTGCAACCGCTCCTGTACTACCACCTATTCTATTGGGATCGAAGGAAGACATCACAGTTGTTGATGAAGTTGATCGAGACAATGAGCTAAAGGATGTCGTGGATGAGGAGGTGGATATCAATGATGGGGAATTGGATATTATTCTCGAAGAGGATATTGTTATAGCCAACGAGACAGAGGCACCTACGAATCCACCAACTAGCCTACAAATCAATGCTACTGCACCACCGACGAATCCACCGACGAATCCACCGATCGATGCTCCACCAGCACCAGCACCCACGAACCCTCCAACTACTCCACCAACTAATGCTACGACATCATCATCAATTGCTCCATCAATCGCTCCATCAATCGCTCTATCTACCGCTCCGAGCCTAGCTCCGACGGGAGTCCCAACGAGAGTCCCAACGAGAGTCCCAACGAGAGTCCCAACGAGAGTCCCAACGAGAGTCCCAACAACAGCTCCAACAACAGCTCCAACAACAGCTCCAACAACAGCTCCAACAATATCTCCAACAATATCTCCAACAATATCTCCAACAATATCTCCAACAATATCTCCAACAATATCTCCAACAATATCTCCAACAACATCTCCAACAACATCTCCAACAACATCTCCAACGTTAACGCCGACGATAACGCCGACGCTTCCAGGCACAGGTAGTCCTACACAGGGACGACCAACACCTTCTCCTAACTCAGTTACCAACAGTCCAACTGTGACATCTTCTGCTGAATCTACCACTGAGTCAACCACTCAGTCCCCCACTCAGGTCTCCAGTGACCTTACTACCGAATCTCCGACCCCAAGACCAACGCGAGTAAGTAAAGATGAAAACGTTATAAGTCAGAGGAATGACAAAAACAGAAATTCAATAGATAAGACCGAATGCATGGATTTTCCAGACAAAAAGCAAATGAATCCCATAGCTCACAAAACTCTGTTTATTCTATTTTGTATCCCGGCAGCAACCAAGCAATCCACCAACTAGACCACCAACTAGACCACCAACTAGATCACCAACTAGATCACCAAGTGCATCACCAAGTGTATCACCAACTGCTGATCCGACTGCCGAATCAAGCTTAATTCCTACCTCAAGTCGAAACCCCACTGAATCACCAACTTTGAAACCGAGTAAGCGCCCTAGTGTCCAACCTTCAATCAGTCCAGGCCCTTCATTTCTGCCTCTATCCTCGAAGCCAAGTTCGAGTCCACAACCTTCGCCGGAACCTACAACATCGGAGCCAAGCTCAAGCTTGGTGCCAACGGAGTCGCCGAGCCATTCACCGACATTCTTTCCTTCGGTTCAGCCAACAACATCAGAGCCTAGCTCAAGCTTTGCACCAACAGAGTCGCCAAGCAATTCGCCGACGTTCTTTCCTTCGGTTCAGCCAACAACTTCAGAGCCCAGCTCAAGCTTTGCACCAACAGAATC